CAATACTCCCCTTTTTAAAATTAATTTTGTAATATAATTTTATTGTTATTAATTTAATATAATTTTTAAAATATAGTTATTCACACCCATAAACTATTAATTATATTTCCAGATTAGTCAAAGTTGAGAACACTTAACAGGCCAGAAGGAAAGAGAAAACTGTTGTTGAATTTGCTGGCGTACAACAGCTGCCCTGCACAGGACGACTTAGGCCTTAGTGCTCGCTGTTGTGCTGCTGGATCAGTTGTGCTGTGAGGGCTAAGCCAACTATCTTGAATGGCCCCCAGAATGTGAAAGAAAAAAACCGGGTTCTAATTCCCCTGGGTTCCTGAGGGGAAAACCCCTACTTGGGGACAATGCCTTCACAAGCCTGCAAAAGGCAATGCTCAGCACTGCCACGCAGTCTGAGAGGAACACGATGGTGCCGGCCATTACTTTTGGCATGCGAAGACTAGGCCAGCAGCAATCTCTTGCTGTGAGAGGAAATTGCCTCCAACGGGCTTCCCTCAAAGCAAAAAAATGGCAAGGAGGGCGAAACAGGTGCTGATGCCTCCACCCCCAAGCAGCATTCTCTGTGGGGAGAGGAAAAAAGGCCTCAGGCCCTTTGAATCAAGTCGTGCCGATCGGAATGGCGTGGCTAGTACAGAATCGCTGTGGCAAGGGCTAGTTTTTTGCAGCCGGGGGAGGCATGTTTTGAAGGCCGGTGTCTCTGACCGTCCTGGAGCCATCTAGAGCGCTCCCCGATATTGAAAACAAGACTCCGACGGCCTGATGGTTTTAACAGCCATCGGTAGTTCTCTTCGACTCCCGGATGACTTGTGGAGTCTTGAGGAGAGAAAATTTGATTTTTTTCAAACCTGGTGTTATTTGCTTTCTCCTATTTCGGTCAAGGAAGAAATAAATGCTGCCTATCTCTACAAGGCTGAGCCAAAACTGGGGGATGCTAGGGAGGAGTCCCATGGAGGAGGAGCATCCTAGCAATTAAGCCCAGCCTATACAAGCAGAGACTGAAGCACCTCCCACTACTGGATGCTCTGAACAGCTCATGGGAAAACAGGGGTGTAAAACTCAAGGCCCATTGGCCAGATCTGGCCCGTGGTGTGCTTAGATTTGGCCCGCGGGCCGGTCTGGAAATAGCAAAGGACCAGTCCACAGTGCCTCTGCTACCGAAAATGAGGTGTGGGGGGGCATGTGCAGCCTCCTGCACCCCATTCCGGGTCTGGACGGCCTCCTACAGCACTCTGGCAGACAAAATGGGGCACGGGAAGTTGCCAGAGTGCTGCCAGAGGCTGTCCTTGACTCAGAAGGTTATAAAAGGGAGGAAAGGTAAAATATTTTACCTTTCATGCTTGCAGGATTCTGCTACTATAGGCCTATGTTAATAATTTATAGTTTTAGTCTTCCTATGGAGTCAATTTCTTAATTTGGTCTCTCTTCTCATAGGGTGATCAAGTAGATCAAGTACGTATTAAAAAAGTAAAACCACAGAAATGTAGAGCTCTCTACTTTTATAAGTGTATAAAACCATGTGTGTGGAAGTGTGGTCCCGTGTCTTGCCCATTGTGGCCACGCCCACCCAATCACACCCATCCCCGCCTTCCGAGGTCAAATACAACCCTGAATTGGCCCTCAATGAAATTGAGTTTGACACCCCTGGATTAGAAGATTGTGCAAACCAGTTTTCCACTGAGATTAAACAAACACAAGATTTATATTTTAGCTTTATAATTAGTTAAGCCATTTTGTGAGATAAAAATGAAAAGTTCTATTTCATTAAATCTCATATTCACTCTATATCTCCCAAAGTATAAGTAAATCTACCTTAACATACTTTCACATGAAAACAATATGTCTTTTTGAACTGTTTTAAACTCCACAGGCTTCAACCACAATGATTTTGAAGTTATGCAATGGATATCATGTCAGTAATTCATTTACTGTAAAAGAAGGGATAGTGCCAATTCTTAGCTTTCCCTAATTCAAGTTCAAGACTTTTCTATTTTTCGATCCATTTGCCAATATATAAAAATAGGAATGGGTTTATATAAACCACTCAGGGTACCATAAAGATCATCTGAGAATATAATCAAGATGATACTTTTTTATTTTTATTTTTGCTAAATTTAAGGTTTCACATTTCTGCATTTTTTTTCCTGTTGAAGCAGGCAGCAAGCATATCAGGGAACATAGCACAAGTATAAAGCAAAACTCCTCTTTGGTAATGTGAGAATGTACATGCAATGAGAAGGAATTTTATCTTTGCTTTTCCACTCCTTATATAGAAATATAAAACCTCGTTTCCAAAACACTTGTTTAATCTGTATTCATGAATCTGAGATGATGAAGAATGGAAAGATGGATGCTACACTGGTTTTTTTTCCCTCATAAACATTTATGACATCTGAACATAGCCCATTGGTCCTTTTATAATTTAAAAGTGTAATATAAAAAGAGCATTGACCTTAGATACAGTTTCTATTCTTCTAATATTATAAGGCTGCAGATACATTGTAGACTTTAAAAAATCCTTCTTGGTGCAAAACAGATTTAATAATCTGCTAGACAGACTAAAAAAAGGACTTAGTTTTTGAGCCTTGAGACACTTTACATAAGCTCTAGGGACCTGAACTTTTCAGCCATTATTCCAGCCTGGGTCCCAAATTAGAAGGCCATATGTGTAAAGAGTCATAATGCTTAGAAATTCTAGAACTTTACAGTAATCCCAAAATAGGTGGAGAGCACTAGTGAGAAAAGCTTGTTATATGTACAGAAACTATTAATATATTGTGCTTTTATGATTTTATTGCTCATCTTATTCATAGTAGATTGTGCTTTGCAAACGGCTTCTACATTAATAATCTTTTTGTCATGAGATATATCAAGCGTAGCTTTGCACATGGAATCATATGGGTACATGCAGATTCAATATTATTTGGAAAAAAAGACAGAAGTCATTACTGAACTATTTTACATAAGCAGCTGCCTTCTCTTGACAAGAACAGGAAACAACTGCTTCTTATAACAATTGCTACTAATTATATTAGAAAAATGTGTTCCTGCCAATTTATACTCAGGTTGTCCTTAGTGAATATGGTAATTGTGACCAAAATTTCAATCACTAAAAGATGCAGTTGCAAAGTGCAACATCACATGACCCCGTTGCTAAGCAACAGCAATCCAAGGAATCTCCATTACTGTCATTAAGCAAGGTTTGTGGGTGGTTAAACAAGTACCAAGTGGCTCACAAGTATAACGTGTAAGGTAGGTTGTGAGCATGTAAAACCAGGGCTGGTTGCTGCTTGGTAGGAGACAGAGTGCACGTAGCCTATTTGAAGAGGCTGGAAAGAGAGCAAGTGACTTAAAACCTTCCCTGTTGATTTTCCCATTGACTTAACTTGTGGGAAGTGGCAGGGATTGTCACAAATAGCAATCACACAACCATGGAATGCTGCAAAAGTTGTTAAGTGAGAGCCAAGCATTCAGATTGCAATCACGTGACCATGGGGTGCTAAGACAGTCTTAACTTCATGGATCAGTTGTAAGTACCACTTGTTCAATACTATCATAATTTTGGTCACTAAATGAGCGATCATTAAGCAAGGAGTACTTGTGTTATAAACCTGTCCAAGTTAAAATTAAAGTGTAAGTAATAGACTCAGCAGTGGTCGCTAGCATGAATCCTATTCACACTTTCAATTATAAAGCAAGGTACATGGCTTCAAATGAACTGCAACAGTGACATTTGTGTTGGCTAATGATCAGCACAACAGTGGTGTTTCCCTTTAAACAGTAAGTTCAGTTTCTACTATTGTGCACTTGTAAGCCTATAAATCTTTAAATAATTTTTAAGATATTTTTATTTAAATTATTACTTTAAATTTAAAGATCAATTTCTGAATTAGTGTCACCAATCTATTCCAAAATTCATATTCATATTCCAAAAATTCATATTCCAAAATTCTTTAGTCAATTTGTTCAGATGTTTACTATAAAAACATATGGCAGATATAATAATGTGATTCATATCCATGTGTTTAAATATTCATATATTCTAATTGTATTTTAAATTGAAAATAAATTATACCACACTACAAACTACTTTCTGCCCTTATTCCCTCTTACTAACTTAAATTTAGTAATGCTTATCTATATACTGTATATCAAAGCGAAATACCACTCAGGCATCATCACAAAATCTCCAGATCCATAAAGTTTACAAACTTGAAATTTGGCACGTATGTTCCTCTTGGCTCCTAGGTGCTCACTAAGACAGGATTTTTTGAAATGATCATCAAAGCATTAGTATTTTGTATATTATTATTAAAACACTCTGATGCTAAGGAGTTCTACTCCCCCTCCCCACCAGCAAAACACAAGCAGAGGAGAGGAGTTTCAGTTTCACAGCACCAAGCAGCTATAGTCCAGAACAGTTGAGCTAAGCCATGCCCAGGCTCCTTGCTGTCTCCTTCTTGCTCACAGAGCAAATACTGATTCAGTTTCCAAATAGCCATCAACTCTCTCACACATTGACAGGACGCTAGCCAGATGAATACCGATGGATGCTGGTAGGCAGAGGCAGAATTTTTTAATCCTTATTTTCCTCCCCAAAATCTAAGCCCGATCACATAGTTTCGTAGCAAAGCATGGGTATCCAGCTAGTTTAATATATTCCAAATCAGAGTAGAAGACATTGTGATGAAATTTATTTTCTACCTCTGCAAGAAATAGATTGATGGAAATTACATTCAGCAAAACCAAAGTTATTTTCCTTTTACACTAGCAGACTTCTACCTGGTGAATTATTTTTTTCTCAATTAATTATACTGTTCTTTGATAGCCCTCAACAGCATATTTGTTGAAGCTGGATTCACAACATCAAGGCTTGTGCTTTCTGCCTTGAGTTTTACTAATTTTTCTGGCCAGGCATGTTCAGGCATAGAAGCTATTTCCTGAAGCACATTTTCAAATTTGCAAATTAGAGCTTTAAGTTTTTTCCCTACCTTGTGTGCCTTGCATATTTGTCAGGACTCAATTCTCTATATTCTTAGCCTGTTCTTTAGTTATGCTGATTGAGAAGTTTAGAAGTTCCAGTCTCAACACATCTGAACATGCCAAGGAAAGCAAGGCTGCTCTAGTTTAACATCAACAATACTGCATTTTGAACAAAATCCATAACACGATTTACTTCAATGGCATATCCATTCACCTTCACTGTTTGATGAACAGTCAACAGCTCATTTTTCCTAAAGCAGCATTTTGATAAGATATCATCTGAAGGGGAAATATCCATCCTGTTTTGAGCACATCGCATCAAAGCTACAGAATTTTCAAATATTTAAGACAAATTTACACATCTAGTTTATTTGATTGCCTGCCATTTTATTCTATGATCATAAGATACTTCTGCTGTTTCCAGAAGCAGCAAATGATCAATGATAGCTGCTGAAGTTGCAAATACTCCAGGAATTAGAAATTGAAATAAATATTGGTACTTCTAGAACCGAAGATGACTCTCAAGGACAGGTAACGAAACAGCTGGGAAAGGATCTTGATCTCCTGAGATATTTAGAACTAAATGTCAAGCTGTACATTCATAATACATTAGAAATTTATTACATTATATAACAAAACTGTTGAACCAAGAAACACATAATAGTTAAAGAATCATAGCCTGAATTGAAGTTAGTTCCCCATTCTTAAATATTTGTTGGCCTAATTTGGATCACCACACCCAATGAGTTGTGAAGATGGAAAAAAAAAGGTGTCTTGAACTATCTTGGCAGGTATACACTTGCAGTTTAATTGGTTTGGCATGAGAAATAGTATATCTTTCTTTCTTTGCCAAACTCTGTTAACATAATTCTATTCACATCAGCCTCTTCATAAAACGAATAACTTGGTAAAGGTGAATATTTTGAATACTACCACATATGCTGCCACATTCATGTTTTATATAGCTTCATATAAAGATTCCATGAAAATATTTTAAAATCTCAGCTTTCATGGACAAAATATAGCTAACAGTTGTGGCATGGAAGAACCTTATGTAACCCTATCCCACCACCAAAAATAATGGAACTTCACTGTTTGTTCAGATCTGAATTTCAAGTATACACAAAGGGAAGATGACAGTTTACCAGTAGTAGTTGATCTTTAAGCATTTGCTTGAGTTCCCTGCCTGGGCAATCCTGGTATGGAACTTGCTCCATGGCTTTCAGTCCCAGGGGAAAGGGTTCCAGCCATGCTCCAGGAGTTTCCTGATGAATTTTAATGCTAGAATAGGACAGAGCCACAAATTCTTCCTAAAGAATAACAATTTGTCTCTGTATCATTTTGTAATGATTGCAGACTGTTTGCACTGATTACCTGCATTAAAAATTTCTACAATTAAGACAGCTGTGTTTTCTTATTTCTGGACTCCAGGGTGTGTGTGTGTCACAAATTGAAATATTAGCTAGCCCTATACATAGATCAAAGGAATCTTAACTATAAATTGTACTGTATGATTTCCTTATGATACCTTTATGAATTGAAATGAGTAGTGTTTTTAACAAATTGCTTTTTTGTTATTTGTGTTTTATTATATTTGTATGCTTAGATTTGTCCAATTTAGGGACCATTAAAAATAAACATTTATCATTTGAATAAGATACAAGCTTCCATTCATATATTTTTCATTTTATAAAATATGGAAATATTTCATTTTATCAAATATGGAAGCTTTAAATAGAGTAGCATCAGGAAAAAAAATCCAAAGAGTAATATAGCTAGCAACGGTTCATCTAAGTTTATAAAACCTGTCTCCAACATTCACATAAATGAAAGCATCCATGGTAGTCCAATATGAATAAGCATTTTTAATTATGGTACTGTCCTAGACAACTTGGTTCAGCCCAACTCACCTCACAGAATTGTTATTGTGGAGAAAATAGGAAGAATAAGCATTAGATATCACCATTTGAGTTAATTATAAAAATTATAAAGGCGGGATAAAAAAATCTAAAATAAATTTAACAAAATTAATATTTTGATTCCTAAAACAAAAAGAGCACAGTATAAAAATATCTCTGTATTTCATGAATTAAATTATGTAACTGTTTAAACCATAAAAGAAGGGGCCGCAGTCGCTCAAGGACGCCAAATCAGAAGACTACTGAGAAGTTCACAGTTTGGCAGTTTGAAACCTGTGAGTGAGCTGCATGATGGAATAGTCCCACCAATTTGTCTCAGCTCCTGCCAGACTAGCAGTTCAAAAGTGTACAAATGCATGTAGATAAATAGATATCACTTCGGTGGCAAAATAACAGGGACATGAAAGAAGCCACCTTGGGTGTCTTGGGCGCAACAGTCATGTCACCATGCTAATCTTTTCTTTCTGACACAAATGTAGTAGCAAAATAAAGAAAATAGTCAAACAAAAATTACACTGAAATGCATTCATACATTAAATATACATACAAAGGGACAATTAAACTACAGGTAGTTCTTGTTTACCATTGTAAATGGGAGCAGAATTTCCCTCACTAAGCAATGCAATCATAAAGTGCAATGGCACATGACCACACTAAATGAATGGTTGTACGTCAAAGACTACCTGTACCACTTTTTCAGTACCAATTTAACTTCAAGCAGTCACTGAATAAAAGTATGTGTTTGCCTATGTTCTATTAGGAAGTAACCCTTAATCTACCGTGTTTCTCCAACAATACGGCCTCCACCAATAGGAAGCCCCAGCATGATTTATTGGCATAAAATCAAATTAAGCCCCTCCCCCCAAATTAAGGCCCATATTAAACATGC